GGTGTATTCCTGGGCACAAACCAGGGTGGGGGTTTCCTGAGGTGACACGGGATGGGAGGAGATCCAACGGAGAGACTCCTTTGCCTTCATACATCGTTATTTATTCACGGGCTGATTTTTTTGAATCATGCAGGTGTATTGACTTTTAAAAATATAAGTAAGCGCAACGTGATAACTGGCAAGTTCTAGGGCAAGAAGGTACAGGGTGCTCCAAGTCTACTGGGGCCCCGGAATAGCCTCCCTGACGAAGTGCATTTGAGCTCAGGTTCTGCGGCGGGGGAGTCATTTATTAGGTGAAGAGAAGAGAAAGGGAAACAAGCAACTTCTCCTTCTGTCACACGGTAGCCTGGCACAGGACCCGACAGGATCGGCGACCAGTAGGAAGCGATGACGGGCAAACAGCCTCTGTGGCCAGAGGGACACAGAGGTGGACCTGAATTGAGGCTCATTCTTGCTCTTGTCCCCCTTCATCCCTCCCACCCCTGCCTGCCCATTCTCTGCCCTTGAGTTCGCTCCCAGAACCCGTGGTCACACCCTGAACCTGTCCACCACCACCCCACCCCCAAGAACAGAGGGATTTTCTGGGTTCACAGCAATAAGCCACAAGGAGTTTTCTAGTTGCAATCTGGTGCTATCATGCAGGAACATCTGGCAGGTGCTCTGAGAGCCCCGTGTCCCTTGTAGGACAGGCTGCCGGGCCCAAGTCTTCACCTAGACCCTGGGTCCTGCTCCTGAACCCCTGAGCAGCATGGAGGCTGGGAGGGGGCATCTTAGAAGACAGGGAAACTAGGAAAATGCAGAGAACCCCAAAACAGCTCTTGTACTCCCCATACCAGGATTCCCTTCTCCTTGAGACCTTTATATATGGGTCAGACGCAGGGTCTCTCAGCCGACCCTGCTCAACTCCTGGGATCAAGAAATAAGATGGCTTGAACCCAGGATTCTCTAAGCCAGAATCTGGAGTCCACCTAGTGGACCCTAAGACGATGCCATCCCATTCTAACTGGCACGCACGTCACCAATGACTCCTGTCCCAGCTGCCAAAGGAAGAGTCCAGCCCTCTGGGTGTGGGCGGTGCCCGAAGACTGCTGACCGAAAGCAGCCAGTAAAGGTCCTGTGACCCTGTGAAGACCCCAAAGGCCATTTGGCTGGAGAATGGTGATGGAGGTCTGGAAGGTTTAGGGGAAACTGAAAGATGTAGAGGTGCGTTGTGCAGAGGAAGAGGTTTTAGGGCCCAAGTTCATTGTCTAGGATGGCGCTTTCCCAGGCTCCCACTCTAAGAGGTCAAGAAGGGGGGGCTAGCGGTGCTCACCACTCCCACCGGCACAGGCCAGGAGCAGAAAGCCAAGGTGCGAAGGGGCTGGTTTGCCCTGCTGTATCTAGGAAATGAGCTCGTCACCCCCCACAGCCCTTGCCTGGGTGCTCAACGGCTGCTCTCGCTCCAAGTGGCTAAAGACATGACACTGGCATCTTGGAGACAGGAAGACAAATAGTCATGAGGTACGGGGCTCAGCACCTGTTCCTTTACTCCCTCCGAGCTCCTAGGACAAGCATCTCCTCTCTCGGGAGCTCTGCCACCGTGGATCGTAGGAGCATGAGAAGAGAAAGGAGACACACGCTGTGTATCTCGTCTGACTGGGGAGAAAGCTGGGCTGGCATGAGGTCTTAGCCCAGCGGTCCTCAACCTGTGGGTCGCGGCAAACGACACTTTCACAGGGGTCGCCCAGTTGATAACAGTAGCAAAATTACAGTTATGAAGTAGCAACGAAAATAGTTTTATGGCTGGGGGTCACCACAATATGAGGAGCTGTGTTAAAGGGTTGTAGCATTAGGAAAGTTGAGAACCACTGTCGTAGCCCCTGTTGCCAAAGCAAGGGGAGCTCCAGCCAGGCCTGGCAAGTGTGATCAGAGATGCCCTGATACCATGAGCGAGCCCATCAAGCAGCTCCCCTGGCCTAGCCTCAGCCCCTTCTGGGTTATTCGAAACCACAGGACCCAGGTGATCCCATTCGAGATGCAAACCAGGTGGGGGAAACTGACTGCTGGGCTTTCAAGAGGTGGACGAGTCCCTCGGGAATTCCTGCAGCTGGGAACCAGGATAACAAGCTGGTACATCCAGCATTCTCACCAGTCCTTTGATCCCGAGGTACTGCAGACCACCCGAAGACCCGGTGTGTCCCATGGGGTCTGGGTGTGGTGGCAGTGGTGGGAAGACTGTGCCTGGCAACTTTCTTCCCCAGCCTCCCACCACAGATGCCCTCCCTGGCCTTTCCAGGTTGGAGCCATGGCCTTGGCCAGACAGAGGGTACTATGCGTAGGAGTGGGCTGGGAGCAGTCTTAGACCAGATGGTGCCTAGGAAGGCCCGGGAGCCCCCTCCACCTCTCAACGAAAGAGTCCAGGGGCTCCGGGAGGCTGGGGCTTGGCTATTCCGTTCCATCAAGCTAGTGGCTGTGTCTGTCCTCCTGAGAGGTTGGGGCTGCACCCCAGGTGTACATGCCACTGTGCACGTGCACTCTGCTCTGTCCGGCACAGCCTCCCAGCCGGCTCTGCCAATATCCGGGCCTGCAGATCAGCTAAGTCAGGAGTTAATTACACTCATGAGTTGCTTACACCTTGGGAGAGAGCTAAAGAGAGTAAGAGAATCCAAGCTAGGAGCTGCCAGCAGATCAGAAATGAGCCATTGCTGGGGTCTCCCATGAGCAACTGTTGAGTCAACAGAATTCTCAACTGCATAAAACTCCCCAGAAACAGAACTGTGGCCTAAAAGATGGCCTCACCTGCACATATCCCCACCCAGCTCTCCCCTCACCCCCAAAGTCCCTTCACACACACTCCAGGTCATGTTTACAGGGGCTACTGCACCTAGCAGCCTCTACCTTACCCGGCACCCAACCCACCCCTGCCCCTGCTTCCAGTGGAACCATGGGTAGTCTAGAGGGGTGGGGCTGGTGCCCTGGCAGATAATGCCAGGTCCCCAGGCTTACGTTTGCCACACACTCGAGCTAAAAGTTTCCACATAAAAAGCGCCTTTCAGAGGGTCTGCCAGGGCCAGATGGGCACAGCATGAGCTGCAGCGGCCAGGCTGGGGAGTCAAAGCAGACTCCTGGGGCTCCAGCATCTCTCTGGTGAGAGCCGGGCCCCAGGCCAGGGCAGGATGGAGCTGCCAGGAGCCAGAGCACGGCCTTCCCCTCCAGAGGGTCTCTGGTAGCAGGCTCCAAACGGGGCATCAGAAGGCCCCAGAGGTGGTTTGTCTCGGGGTCTGCTCTGACAATCCCCTACATTGGGAAACTGTAGGGAGATCCATCCAGCTGGTCAGCCTGGTCATCTGGTTGCCATTTATTTAGAGTCCCTAAGGTGGAAGTGTCTTGTGCATGTTCTCCCCTGTAATCCTCAGAGCCCCCGAAGGTCCCCACGGCCATCTCTATTTTCTAGCCAGGGAAACATGGGCGCCCAGAGGCTAACACTCTTGCCCCATGTTACCTGCCAGTAAGTGGTAGGAGAAAGGCTTATGCGCACTGCTGGTCAGAAGTGTTTGCTCCTTCCACACGCTGGCCCAGCAGGTGCCAACGGCCGGAGCCGGGCCCTAGGGTGAAGGCTCCTAGCCCCAGTGCTGCCCCAGGATTTGCCACAAGGTGAGGGCAGTCCCCATTCTTACATGGCCGAAGGGGTCAAGGTGGTTGTTTGTCAGCTTCAGTTTCTGGAAGGAGACCAGCTGCCGCATCCAGTGGGCCCCAGTGGCGGGAGAGTCCGGGTGAACATACAGCCTTCCTGGCATGGCGGGCTCAGCCTTCCCCGCCACCATCCTGCCAACAGAGCAGACAGAGCCGTAGTAGCAGCTGATTACCCCAGATGTCCTGTCCCCCCACCTGCCCCCCAAGAGCAAATCCCCATAGACCAGATAGGAGACGGCTGCTGGGCCCATCACATGGTCACTGTGGGCCTCTGGGCATGGGAGTGAGGGGCAGAGGCAGAGTGCTGAGTCGGGGAGCGCACCTCGGCAGTAGAGGAGAAAGGGAGCCGATGACTGCAGTGTGGTGGCTGATTTGACCGACTGGGACTAATGACAGAGACATTATAGAGACACCGAGGCACTTCTCTGTGTGTAGTATTTCACGATTTTTAAATCGTTTACATTATATTTAGAGGGAGCTGCTCAGAGGAATTAAGACAACTTTCAAATGGCCTGCCCCCAAAACTATGGGGGATATTAATTGGTAGTTGTCCCCTGCGCCAACAAGTCTGAGTGCTAAACCAGCCCAGAGTGGAGAAATAGGCAAGAAACATCATCCTTGTGATAAGAGTTGTATGAGCCCCTAATAAAATGATTTTTAAAAAAAGAAACATCACCCTGACCCCCAAACCCTGCTCCCTCTCCCAACCCCTGCCAGCTAATCCAGCTCTACCCACCCACCACCAGCCCCAGAGCCCAGCGTCCAGACTGGCTGTTGTTTCTTCTCCCTCACGCTCTCCTTGAGCCCTGTCCTGAGCTCGGCGGGCAGACACTGTTGTTGGTCTCGTGAAAGGGAACCCAGCATTGACTCCTCAGACTTCAGTTTGGCCTTGTCCCTCAGTCTGCCTGCCTCCCTCATTCGATGGCCAAAGGGTCAGACCAGGGTCTAACTGCCCAGTCTTGTGTGTCACCTCAACAGCATAGCCATCAAATCCTGGTTGTCCATGGTTGTGGGTGTGACCCCTTGGGATCTGCCCTACACTGCGGCTGGTTCTCAGCCTCCACCCCCAGCTCTGCTAGCCCCACACGTGCAGACATCAGCCGGCCCTCCCCAGCCTCTGCCGCCCCCAGGCCAAGCAGTGGGCCCAAGGCTGTGGATCTGAGCAGCCACCAAAACTACCTGGCAAACCCTTGGGAGGAGCATCAGATGGGTGGAAGAGCAGGTAAGGTGAAAAGTTGGTGACGTGGTGAAGGTCCCAGGCCTCTTACCATTTATTGTCACAGAACTTGTAGCGGTGGTCATCAGCAGGGACGATATCGATCAGCAGGATGTACTTGGTCTTGGGGTTCATGCCTGTGACCTTTACTTTGTAGCTGGGGAACATCCTCCTGAGGGAAGTCAAGAGGTGAGGTGGGAGGCCTGGACAGAGCACCAGGAGAGATGGCCAGAAGCCAGAGGGAAGGGGAAGAAGGCTTTAAAAGGTACTGTCCTTTTAGCAAGTGGTGTGGGCAGCAAAAAGTCAGCCCCGGGCCCCGTGGAGGACAGACTTACAGCCTAGAAACCCAGGAGGCAGCCTATGCGGTCGCAGTGAATCAGAATTCCTCCCTGGCGATGGGTTTGCTCGTTCGTGTTTGTTCATTTCTGTTGTTGCTTGGGTTTTGTGTTGTCCGTTTAATAAGCCATCTTGGCACTGGTCATCACTGTGTGGCCTTGCATGAGCCACGTCTCTCTCTGCTTTCTCTCTCCCTAACCCTGCACAAGCAGAGGCTCACTGCTCTCCTCAGAGCCCTGTCAGCCTGCGTGTCTGGCAGGAAGGGTAACACACTTTTCCAAATCCAGTGGCCTCCGACCCACAATTCCCTAAGATTTAGGCCCAGCGACCGACCGAGCAGCCAACGCACAGAGTCCCTGGCCAGGAGTATGAGAGGAATTTCTACACCAACTTGGTGGTCTTTATGTCCTGCCTGCCAGCTAAAATGCTGTCCGCCGTCCCTGTCTGCTGCTTGCATCAACATCAAGCTGCTTCCTCTGGGCCACTGTGTCTGTGGATGATCCCAGGAACGGAGGAAAGTGTTGTTAAATTTCTCGGGACCACGGAGAGTGCTCAGCAGGCAGGGTGTCCTCTTGCCCTCCCTTAGGCCTGTGCACGCTAACTGGGTGAGGGAGGGAGCCCCCGTGGGTAAGGGCGCGGATTCTGGCACCATGCTGCCTGCCCCACCGCTTACAAGATGCGAGGCTTTAGGCAACTTCCTGAGATCTGTACGTACAGTTCTGACCTCTAACATGGAACCATGATGACTACCTGTCTCCTAGGTGTAGGGTCTAATGAGTCCAGTTACGATTGTTATTACGACCTACTTCTGAGAACAGCTTGTATGATCTACTTCTAAGAAAATGAATTCACCAAAAAACAAAGCTTTCTCATTCTTGCAGTCCATGCTGAGGCTGCCCAGGCCCCTAAGGCGCAAGGGACCCTCTTAGAGAAAAGAACTTCTCCAGGCCACTCAATACATAAAGTCAGTTCTCTCTATCTTCAGGGACCATCCAAATGGTTCCACATTTGCATATTCAACCAACCGTGGATCAAAATGTTGGGGATGAAGCAATCCATGGTCCATGGAATCCCTCAAAGGCTGAGAAGTGCAAGGTGCTATTTATATAGCATTTGCATGGTATTAGGTATTGTAGGTAATCTGGAGATGATATAAAGTATATGGGAGGATGTGTGTGTGTAGGCTATATTACTCCATTTTATATCTAGGACTTGAGAATGGGGTGGGGTGTGGCTTTGGGCATCCACAGGAGTCCTGGGACCAATCCCACACATACTGAGGTACCTCCCCTGGCCACCAGGCCCCTAACACAAGACAGAGAGGAAGTGCAGGTAGACAGAAATTCCTGGCAATCCTCCTAAGGTGCCCCTCCTCCTCAGTTGACATTCTGCCAAGAGGGCTACCCCAAGAGGGAATCAGGGTCCAACCCAACTGCAGACCTTAAGGGATAAGAGATTCAGCCACCTGAGTTGTGTTACTATCCACTGTAGGGCAGCCATCAGGGTCTCCTCTCTGCCTCTGAGGAGCCACCCCAGGAAAACTGTCCTAGACACCTCAGAGATGGATAGAGTTCCCCACTTTGTCAGCAGGGACTCCAGCTTAGGGATAGGGCTTGCAGAAAGAATCAAAGCCCCCACAAGCTTCCAGAGCCCACATCAAGCCCAGGCCAGGCCCTCTGAGGTCCAGGGTTCAGTCCCACCCCCCACCCCATCTCCCAGTCCTACTGGCAGCTGCAGTCTGTGCTAGGGGAAGAACCTGTATGGGGATCTTGTGTGAGCGTGTGTCTGCAGAAGGGCAGGGGCAGGAGCACAGGCTCAGAGTGTGCATGTGCGTGTGCATGTGTGCCTGCAGGGAGGAGGGAAGTTCTAGCGGCAAGTCCAGGGACTTATAAACCATGTGGAAGAATTTGTCTCAGATGTCAATTGAAAGCATTTTCAAATGTCCACCCCACCCCCCTCCCCAGGAATTGGGGGTGGGGATGGTGTGGGCTCAGGAACCCAACCCAGCCTCTGCTTGGCAGCTCCCTTGCCCCTGGCCTGGGGGCACAGCTGGAGCCTGCACCACCCTGTTCCTGGCCTGAGCTCAAGGCTGGGAGGGCGGCAGCTGGATCACCTCCCCTCTCCCCAGGTTGGAAAGGCCAAGAATCTTGTCCCCTCCAGGCCACCATTTTGTAACTGCTACAGAAGCAGCCTCAAAATGGGGCAGCCCTGGCTGTGCTCGGCATGGTCTGGCACCCGTGCCTTGCACTTAGCTGGTTTCTTCAGTCATCACTCCAGGTGGCAGCAGCCAAGGGCAGGCCTGGCCTCCCCGGGAGCCAGCCTGCACACACAGGCCAGGAGCAAACGCCTCCGGCCCCTCACAGCCTTAGTACCCCAGGCTGCGGGGGCTGAGTGTTGGCCTTCCCCCTCTGCTCCTACCGCCGGCCTCTCTGTAGCCCGGGCTACCAGCTGCACACTAAGTGCCATTGTAAACCCCCTGAAGAAGCCCGGGCACTGCCTCCAGATGGCATGAAGCTGGTGTCCTGGGATTTAGTGTCCCCTGGAAGTGACCACAGACAGCCCAGACTCCTGACTAAATACAGCCTCGGAGAGGTATTGCTGGACTTGGGGTGGGTGTATCTCCTAGCCTCTGCCTCCCCTGCCCACCAACATCAAGGAGGGCTGTCTCTGGCTGCCTGAGAAGCTCCATGGTCTTCGTGGAGGGAGAGAAGTCAGGGTGTCAGGGTGACCCAGGGCAGGGACTGCTGCGAGGCTGGCTGGACCCACCCTCCACTGAGGGAACCTAACCAACCACTCGTGGGGACCTGGGGACCCACAGTGAGCTGCACAAGAGGAGTGTGCTTTATGGGGGGTTCCTGTCTGAGACCCCCACACACACACCCCAGGCCTTTCTTCTGAGGTGCCTCCTGGTGGGTTCAGACTCACCACGGAGGGGCGCAGGGATGAGATTTGCTCCACCACCTGGTGCTGGACAGGACCGCACCAGCCCAGCATGGGGGAAGGGCAGGCTGTGAAGGTGAGGCTGACCTCCACCCCCACCCCCACCTGGCTGAAAGGGGAATTCACAGGGCCCCCATCACCTGCCCTTGGCTCACCGGGTCAGTGCAGCTATGGGCTCTAAGGCCCTGCTAGGTCCTCCCTCCCTAATGGTCCCTTGCTCTGGACCTCGGGAGGAGCGCTGCTTGTATTATGATCAAGCTCTTGGACAAGAGCAGAAAAGCAGCACCCCGAGATGGGGGGACCCCTCAGTGGGCCAGGGGGGATGGGTCAAAAAGGGATCCTCCCTCAGCTCCCACCTTCCACCCCTACCACTAGCCCTTCACCCTCTCCTGGCACACATACTGCCCACCTGCTTCGAGAGCCCCCAAACCTCTCCGTGAGCTCCGTGGGGCTGCCCGCGCCCCTGCACGCATCCTGTTCTGGCGGCCTGGCTCTTCCCCGTGGCCCCTCCTGGACCCCCGTCCCGCCCCGCCCGCGGGCTCCAACCCTCCTCCCTCCCCCCAGCCAGGTTCGATCCCCTCTCGCGGAAACGGCCCTGCCGGAGGGGGTGGGGGCTGGGGGGGGTAAACGGCCTGGGGAGATGAAAGCCCGGCTTCTCCTCGGGACCCCAGACAGCTCGGAGAGGGTGCCGGGCGGCCGCCTTATCTCCTGTCTTCTCGGAAATGGCTTTAGAATGAGCTGCTAACATAAGCTTCCCCGGAGTCGGCGGGGTGTCCGAGGCTTGGAGGGGGGATGGGGGGAGGGGGGAGACTGGGGATCAGATCAATGAGGACTTGCTGCAGAGCAGGGCTTGGAGGGGCACCCCGTGGCCACCTCCGGGCTGGCGGGCTCCTGCGGCACCCGGGGATGGAGTGGCCAGGGAGGAGGGGGGAGGGACTGGAGAGCCTTAGGGCACCCACCAAATAGTCTCCACCCGGCCCAGGACCCCACGAGCCTGCCCGGAGCCCCAGGCAGCTGCGCGTGCCTTCTTTCTCCGGGCAGGCGGCCAGGAGGGGAGTCTGGGACCCGGCTTCGTCCTGGGGGGCCCGAGGCGCCCAGCGAAGGCTCTCTAATGCCCCGCCGACTCACAGCGACCCTACCGGACGGGGCAGCGCTGCCCGTGGGCCCCGGAGGCTGTGAAAGCCCCGTGAGGAGCCGCTCCACCCCCCTACCCGCCCCCAGGACTCCTCCAGGGGACGCCCGTGGCGATGCCGCGGTGGGTTTCTTCCTCGGAACTGGGTGCTGACTGACTACAAGACAGCAGGGTGACCCGCGTGCTCTTCCGCAGCCCCGCTCCACTTCAGTGCCGTTTACACCTTTAAAAACCCAAACAGCCTCCGATCTTGGGACAAGGCAGGGGGCCACAGAAAGCCCACCCTACAGAAGGCGAGGCCTGGGCCGGTCGGTCGTTTGCGGGCGAGTGAAGGAGAAGCCTTGGGGCACGCGGTGGGGAGCCAGTAGGGCGACTGCCAGGTGCTGATGCCGCCATCCGAGACACAGCTAGCCTTCCGCAGCCAGAGCCACGAGGACCCGGCTTCATTGACTTCCACTTTCCGCCATAAAGAGAAAATGTCTTCTAATTCTCCAAAAACCTTTTTTAAAGAAATATTTTCCTCGAATTGGGGGTGGTGGTGGCAGGGAGGGAGGGAAGCTGGGGGGAGGGTGTGTGGAATGGGTGCTGTTTGCCAGGTCAACTGCTTCTCTTAGGACCGCCCCCCCCCCAAGCCACTTCCTTCTGATAGACTTTTGCTTTCAGAAAATACTTTAAAAAGAGATCAAAGCACTCTCTCTCCAACCCACTTTTCCAGTGTCTTCAACCCTTACTTCTCTTATCACCCACGCCACTGGGCTCTGACGCTCTGTATACAGAGCAAGGGCAATCGGCTTTGAAGCCCCGGATTAAGCCGGGCCAAATCCCTGCCTCAGAATAACAAACAATGCAGGTTCAACAGGAGTTCTCATCAGTAGTTCATTTTTCAAACGCAAATTCACTGTCATGAACACAAGCAACATTGAACTCAACAGGCCATGAAGGCTGAGAGAGGAGATTTATCTGGTGGCAAAACCATGACCTAGGAGTGGGGCAGTCAGACAGTTAGGAAATTTTCATTCGGGGGAGGTTTCTATTTAAATTTTTGTGGAGCTCACTTTTATCTGTATTTGGGAGAAAATGCAGCTTCTCACATGGATCATGCTTGGCAGGGACGTGAGGGGGGGAGTGGAGAGAGGGGTCTGCGCCTGCAATAAGTAGCATGGAATCTCTGGTACTGGGAACTGGGGGGCTGGGGGACAGGGACTAGTTGGGAAAGAGTGTGGCCCCATTTTATACAGGACATCAGGGGCTCCTGTGCATTCAAAGCTTGATGTCTTACTTCGGTGGAGAGGGGGGATTATTAACCGATTAAATTGTTTAACCATTTAAAGTCATTGTCCTGGAGCCACTGCCCAAAGGAATCACCCTCCTCTGGCCTTTGGTTCTTTAAGGACTTAAAGGGCTTGAGGCAGGCAGGAGCTTGTGATCCAAGAATTCAAACTGGTTTGAGAAAGTTCTGGCTCTTCTCAAGGCCCATAACCAGAGAGCCATTAATATGCCCTTAACTGGTCAGGGTCCAGGGTAGAGCAACCTTACATTGAGTCACAGCGACTCTGAAAACAAGCCCCCAGAGGACCTCTCACAGCTGGGCATCCTACGTCAGGCTTGTACAGACCTGGAAACTGCCCCCACCTTGCTCTTACGGATGTGAGTCAAGTGCTTTCCCTCCTGGGGTTTGGTTTATGTTCTCTCTGCTCTCCTCCAGTTCTGGCCTTCCAGAAATCTACATTTTAAGGTTTGAGAAACAGAAGTGTCCCAGGAAGGATCCTGGTAGAATCAAGAGTAGGGAACTCAACTTGGGAGAGTATTGGACAGGATGGAGAAGGGTCCCAAACTCAAATAACATAAACTGCATTCAGAAGAGATTAAGGGAGAAAGGCGAACATGGTGACCAGGGCAGTGGAAGTAGTCTTTCAACAGAGAGGGTGAACTGTACAGGAGGATAAAGAGTCTCTGAGAACCCTGATTGGGGGTGGGGTGGGGGCATGATTTAAGAACGAGGCCTGGTGCAAGGACAACCTCCTGCCATCTATAATTGGTCAACCATCACAGTTAATTTTAAACTCTTGCTGTATTCCCTCAGGCCAATTACTTAAGGCTGTACCAGGATCAGGCACACACATCTGCCTCAAACTGACCACCTCTGAAACCCTGTGAGTGCTCTGTGGGTGGAAGGGAAGGAGAAGGACCCACACAGGTGCAGGAAACCCCACTGAGATGAGCCACAAATGCCTTTTGTTTAGAATGAGGAGGCCAGGCATGCCCCAGAACTTACTGGCCAATCATTTTCAAGAGAAAGTTATTTCTGCTGCCTAAAATATGGAAGCTCTGAATCTTTCTTTCTCCTTTCCTTTCCTCCACCCCAGCAGGCACAAGAAATAAATCCTCTTTTTCACACCTGTAATCCACTTGACAGTTTACCAAGCACAGTTCACGTTCACTGGACTACTTGGTTTGAGCCTCACCCAAACCCACCACCAAACCCACTGCTCTTGAGTTGATTCTTGAGCCTCCTAGTAATCTCTCTCTCTCTCTCTCCTCTCTCTCTTTCTCTCTCTCTCTCACACACGCACACGCACGCATGCATGCACGCCCGCAGTAAGTCTACAGTCACCATCTCTATTTTACCAAACAACACTGAATCTCAAGGAAGTTCAGCGACTTGTCCAAGTGCACTCAGCTGGCTACACCTGCACCCCTCCCACTTCCACCCCCACCCCCATATACCTTCTTTCCTTGTCCCCAAAATGCACCAAACAAATCTCTCAGCCCTCCCCGCCCCCATACAGTCCCTGGGTGGCCATGTCACCTCTCTGACTAAAGCTGGTGACTAAGGGGAAGTGACCAAGTACTCAGACCTTCAGTTGAGAGTATCAGAGTCCCCAAAAAAGCCAGGCAAGCATGGGGCATACTTGTGCTAATTTACTAATCTATAGTGAACGCTTTCTCACTTTTTCCACCATATCACAGATTCTACTTCTTGGTCTGGCTGGCATCTGTCTCTCTCTTGACCCCCACAGCACCGTTCTACAGAATCAGGCTCTTCCAATGTACAGTCCCTGACAGGCTTACTTGTGCTTATTAAGGAATTGGCAGTGAGCAGTTTAAAGAGTCCTGGTAGCACACTGGCTTAAGTGTTGAGCAGCGAAGTGCTAGGTTGTTGCTTTAAACCCACCAGCCCCTCCTCGGGAGAACGATGAAGCTGTCTGCGCCCTTATCAGAAACTCACAGCAGCAGTTCTCCTCTGTCCTATAGGGTCACTGTGAGTCAACGTCAACTTGATGGCAATGGTTTGGGGTTTTTGGTTGTAGTGAACAATTTGCACATGTGTTAACAAATAAGCTCATATGGATTAGTAAGCTAGCCCCTGCTTGGCCCCAACAAAACAAAGGGGACAAGGCTGCCTGGCAAACAAGACAGAGAAAGGACCACTGCGCCCAGTGGTGCAACTCACCGGCACTGGCTTTTTATTTCCTCCGAATGGTCCTCCCTCCCCTAATGACGCAGCGGCTCCCTACAAAGCAGCAGAAGATGCTGAGAGGATTGCTCTAAGGGTTATTCCTATTTTAGTTAACATTTATACAGGTGCCAGGAACTGTATGCTAAGTGCTTTACCGTAGTTCCACTGTGTGCTCTGGAATTATTTCATAAATGGAGAGCGGAAGGGACGCTGAGGCCTAAGCACCTTTTGGGTTTCACTGATGGAAGTAGCTGGGCGGGAACGGGAACACTCCGCCAGCCAGCCCTCTGACTGTCGGTCCTCAGCCCTTAGAATGTTCCCAGTGATATAATTTCTCTGACAAGCCCAACCTCTGCCGGCCTAAGGGACATTGTCACACCTAGCCTGTCTCCAGGGAACCAAAATTAAGTGTGCATGTGGAGCAGGGACAAGCGAGGAGGGAGTTCCTGAGCTCAAACTCTCCCCTTCCCTTGATCACCACTAGGCCCCACTCCCTGCCCCTGCCCCAGCCCAGCACAGCACCTTCTTCGCTCCAGCAATTCCGAACCCCTAGCTGCTCTCCCTCTCTCCTCCTTGCACGCTCCCACAGACACCAGCGCATTTTAAAGATGTTTCCACTTTATAAATCACCCCTCTGGCAGCCACCCCGAGAGCTGCTTCCCTATAGTGCGCGCGTGTGCACACACACACACCAGTCTCAGGTCTGGGCAGGCGGTGCTCCAAAACGATACGGAAAAAGAAGAGGGAAATCTTATGTTCTTGCCCATCTGCAAAGGAGCAACTTCTCGGTGCACTCCTGAAAACTTCCTGAGGAACCTCCTCTTAAAGTCCCCAAAGGAGGGAGGACAAAGCAGGCAGGCCCCAGGGGACAAAGTGCCCAGCAAGAACTCAAGGATTGTGCCCTTGTTTGCATCTCATTTACATAGTATTCTTGAAACACATACACACACAGCTCCTCAATGGGTAGCCCCACTATGGCCTGCTCACTCTGAAGTCAAGCACAGAACAGTCTGAGGCCCACCGCAGCTCCCCACCCCCACCCACCCACACTGGGGACTGGGGACAGAGAGGACTTCTAAGGGGTCCTCTGGAGGCCCCTCTCACCCCGCCCCCCAACCTCTTCGGAAGTACATCTCCCAGCCTGACCTGCCCGCCTTGGTGATGATCATCTCGGTGCCGGCCTCGTGGAACTTCTTCCAGAGCTCCTTCTCGTGCAGGCCCACCTTGATGTTCTCCACGGTCTGCGTGGAAAGGAGGGCTTGTGTCTGCGCAGGGCGCTCTCACCGCAGCCTGGGGCGCTTAGGGGGACCCAGCCCTCGGACACAGGCCTCAAGACGCATCTAGAACAAGACTAGCCTCGGGTGCCTCATGATTTCGTTTCCAAAACTTACAGTGTACCCTAGGAGAATGGAGCCATTTTTAAACTGGTGCCTGAAAAATCCCTCCTTCGGGGCTGCTCGAGCAGATGGGACACAGAGGGCATAGGTACTGACCCTGCCAAGTAGATGACCCTTTCCGCGGCGGACTTCAGGTGGCCGGGATGGGGCCTCAGGCTCAAGGCAGACGCAGACACTGGGAGGGTCGCGTGACTCATGCACCCACTGGCACTGCGTTGGGCCCGCGCTGGCCGAACTGGGGACTTGGGGCGTGCGGACTGTCGGGGTTTGGGGGTGCCCCAGACCTCAGAGCTCCAGCGCGGCTCCTGTGCGCACACCTGGGAGAGGGGAGCTCTCACTGCCCATCCACCCCCAGGTCGGTCGCCTCCCCCGTCCTGTAGGGTCCTCAAACTGAGTGTTTGGCTAGAGTCACTGGGCTGCTTGGAGTGTCTCCCTCCCGCGCCCGTCCCTGAAGACTCAGTGTGGAGGAGGGATGGCCAGCGGCGAGGACGACCAGACGACGGTCCTGACGCAGCCAGCTCCCCTGGACGGTGCCCTGCGTTCGGTCGGCAGGACTGAGCGCCGCCGACAGACCTGAGTCCACAGCCG